ACTAACCTAAAACTATTGAACCAATACATATTTTAGGATCTCTAATTTTCTTTAATTACTAGGTGGCAACTCTTAATTTTTTAAAATACTTTTTTGGACCCTACCACAATGTCTACCGATATGCGACAACATTGAAGGCTGCTTGTCTAGTTTGGGCTATATAATGGTAATATCTCTCATCAGACATCATTAAGATATATGATGGAATGGTGAGATCCTCTCCCGCAGTCTCACCACCTCAAGTTCGTCTCTTGAAAGCCTGATCTCTTACTAACAATAACCTTCATGAGATGCCTTTCTTTATCAGTCAAGGTAAGGAAACTTAAAAGAGCTTGACCAAAAGCGAGGTGAGGAAAAACATCCTTAAATTCATCTTTCTTAGGAACATCCCAAATAAAGGGCTTATTTATTGCAGCCTCTACATATAAAGTTAGAAGTCGAGGTAAAGGAAATGCCATCATAGGAGCCTTTATAATTGTCGATGGAACACTGGTCTTCATAGAGGTGGAGAACCTCTTTCTCTTAAAGCAAACTGCAATGCCTGCAATAGCTTTCTCAATTGCATCCTCAGGGATGGGGAGTTCATTGATGATAATGGGGTTAACCCCCATCTTTTCTATAGTTTTGCCTCTACTCAAGATAAGAGATAAAGATCCTTTTCAGTGAAATCTCATTTGTAGTTCTTGTTGAAGCTTTTCCTTGTCCTTTAGTTGCTAGTCTTGCATAAAAAAAAAAGTTAGTAGTGAAATTAAATGTAACAAAAATAAAAAGGCTAAAGAATCTGCATACTTTGCTACAAGGCGGAGCAGTGCCCTCTAGCCATCCTTTTCAGATGAGATCTATTGTTGACTTCAAGGGGAGGTACCCTATAATGGTATGAGCAACCTTAAATATGTTACATCTCATCTTTTGGGCTGATTGACCTGTTATACCTCACTATCATCCACCTCCCCTTTCATTTTTTGACATAAGCAAGCTTTCCCTATATGGTTCCCTTTATAGCTCATGTAGGTTTGTTGAAGAAGGTAAAGAACTAATGCGTGTTATTGCCACCATCGGTGTCAAGAACTAGATGCACTACCACAATCTTTAGATTTGCCGATTGAATTTTTTGTTGGTATTTGTATTATCATTTTGTTGGCAATTAATTTACCAACAAAATCACTGATAAAAATGCTCAATCAGTGAATCTTTTATCTGTAATTTTTTTCATAAGTAAGTCTGCTATTAATAAAAAATATTTTTATCGGTGGATTTACTGATGGAAAAGTTGCGCAAAAAAAATATCAGCTTCATTCCATCAATATTTCCCTTGAAAAAATATTGTATGTAATTTTATCGGTAATTATTTAAAAATATTAAAAAATCCATTTTACAAAACTATAAAATAATAAACACTTAGAAAAAAAATCATATGAAAAAAAATTCTCCAACAATATTCATACAATTATTAAGAACAAAAAAAATTAAAAAAAGATATAGTGAAAAAAAAACATGAAAAAAGAAAAAAAAATCTTACCTTAATGTGGTTGCAAGTAAAGCTAATAAGAGAAAAAAATTAGTAAAGTATATTAATTAAAAAAACTGAGAAGAAAAATGAAGAAAGGAGAAGAATACATACTTGAGAATGGAGGAGAAAAGAACGAGTTGAGGAGGGAAGAAAAGAGAAAGAAATGGATATTGATGTTTTTTACATATAGAGGAGAAGAAGAAGAAAAAGAAGAAAGCCCTATCTATTGTGAAATTATGAATTCTAGACTTCTTATTAAGACGTTTTATCGACAGATAATTAAATATTAATATTTTTAATCATTTCATTAGTGATTCTGTCTGTAATATTTAATTTAAATTTTTAATTTAATAGAAAGTTTTCAGAAAACTGTCAAATAACACCTACAACTTTTTAATCCATCGGTAATTTTATCTATAAAGAATAGTAATGAACAGTGCAATTAAGAAGTGAACAGTTCCAGAGCTTTCCAAAAAATACCAACAGTATTTTCCGTTGATGATTTCTTTTGTAATTGACATGATGAACAATATTCACAGTTACCCGACAAAATAAATTCTATCGGTAAAAATAGCACATCATCATTTTTTTACTTTGTTTTAATTATGCACGTCATCATTTTTTTACTTTGTTTTAATTATTTTTTCCCTATTGTAATTCCCTTAGTATTTCCGTTTGTATTTATCAATTTTCTAGTAGTAGTAGTAACAGGTCCTAAAGATACTAATTATAGGCTCAATTTAGACATGCCTAAAAAACGTATTGAAAGTAGATAAAATTATCCACCTGTTAAGGTGCAGCTGACCTTAACCCAATTGATAATATCTAAAAACTTCCCTCACAAATCCTTGGAGTGGGAAGATGTACCCCTAACACGTACAATTGGAAGAGGGACTGTATACATGGGTTTGGCAAGTCCCTGGACCCTATATGTCTAGGTTCAGTTACATTCTGAGTCTAAATATATATGAGTCTCGCAAGCCACCAAACCCAACATTTCTAAGTTTAACTACTCGTTGAGCTCAAGCACATATTGGTTTGGTAGGTTGTTAAACCTTACATTCTTGGGCTCAACATTTTATCATGCTCAGATGGATGTAAAGTTGATCTTTCTAGGCTCCTAGTTGGGTCACAAAGATACTCATTCCTCTATATCTCTAGGAATATAAAAGTCTTTAAAGGGACCAGTTACTTTATCCTCGATTAATGATGTCTATGATATATTTCATCTCTTATTAATAATGTGTAAAAGATATATATCCCTCTTCAATACTATCAGGTCAAAATGATATTTCAGCCTCTCCTTTCCAAAAAAAATAAAATCCAAGGTTCATATATTATAAAAACCCTATAAATCCTTCAAAAAATCCAGCTTTACATTCTTTATTATGTATTGCATATATATTTTTAAAATCTCTCTTTAAAATGTCATTATCTTTTTTTTTATTGAAAGTCACCAACTTTACTATAGGAGAGTCCGTAAATCCATTAAAAAGATATTGTTTTAGATACCAATTACCTTGGCCTACCAAGCATTAAATACCAGTTATTTTAACTAAAAAAGGAAAAACAAATTTTTTGAATCTAGAGATTAATTAATTATCATATACTTAAGTCTTATCATTAAGTAATTTGAATTTTGAAAAATCATCAGATCCTATATAGGTTTTTCTTTTTTCTAACAAGGCAGTGTCTTTTAATTTGTTTTTGTATATTAAAATTAAGTTCCTTCGCCATTAATTTTAGATACACTATTAACATGTGTATTCATTCCTTATGTTGGAACCTGAAATAATAACAGGAGGAATTTACAAAAATCCATACCAACTCCTAAAGGTTACATCAAATGAGTGTGATCGTCCTTTTTCTTTTTCTTTGTTTTTTTTTTTTTTTTTTGGGGGGGGGGGGAGGAGGGG